TTGTTTTTGTTTTTCTCCTTCTGCACAGGGAGAGCCAGGGGAGGCTGCACCTCTAGAGCCCAGGCTGCAAGGTACAAATGTGGTAAGAGATGGGGTTGCAGGATGGATCCTGGGCTTTATTTAAACATCTGTGGGTAGCACTGAGGTCTCTGTGTTAGTAAAATTTGGTCCGATGGTCAAAATTGTAAAGGGGACAAAGTTTGTTTTCAGTTTAAAAAGAAAGAGGGATCCTTCAGCACCTGTTCCAGGTCACAGGCCAGCCTCAGGGGTTTCATGTTTCTCGGCTCATTTAAATCTGACAACATTCCAGGGTTAAGGTAACTATTCCTACTTTAACAGATGAAAAAACAGAGCTGAAAGAGGGGAAGTCATGCCTCCAAAGTTAACCAGTTAATAAAATAGAAAAGACATAGCATAAACTCGGTCTGAAGAATTCTATTATCCCTTTTAATAGGCCCTCCCCCTTTTCTATTTGCTTCTTGGTGTCCCCTCTTTTCTTCACTTTTCTATTCAAACTGACTTTCAGCCAGCTACCATGCTAGAAGGGGTTTAATAATATAAATCCCAGTGTATTCATTTTTTAAAGTTTTGGTTACATGTGAATATGAAGCAAACTCGGAATGAAATTCCAGTGGTAAAATTTTAGATGCCAGTTTAAGACAAGAGCTCATTCAACGTTATAGTCTCGGAAGAATAGGCCAAGATTTCTAGTGGGGCACCTGCTGGTCTCAGTTTTAGAGGATCCTGAAGACGGGGCCACATGTCTTTGTCCATCTCCATTTACTGACTTGGATAGAACATGCTGAAAAACCATCTTTGATGAGAATGATGAAAACCTGTGACTGGATTTATGGGCAAAAAAACAGAAAAGATGGTTGCAGAATAAGAATTTCTTTGTATTAATATCAATGTAATTTGCATCTTTTTTTCCAGCCTCTCAAATAAATCACTGTAAAAATAAAATCTCACTATCAATCCTTAATCCATTAACATGAACACTCACCATAATTGAGTGAGGAGAAATGAAACATTTTTCTTGTCACCAGAGAAAGAAAATGTGTTACGTAATTCTCTGAAGTGTGCGTTTTGGTAATGCTGAAAGAAATTGTGATTAGAAGGAAAAGAAAAATATTTGCCCCTGATCTTACATAGAAAAATGTCATCTCAGACATGATATTATATATGTGCCTTAAGAGTGTATTGAACAGATATTCAGCAGCCAGACGAAAAGTGAGATCTAAGCCCAGCAGGGAGCACTTGGTTATCACCCTCAACAATCCAAACAAATATTCACTGAACACCTAGTGTATATGAAACTCGGAGATAGACAATGGAAAAACTAAAAGGAAAGCATCTTAAAATCTCTTTTGAAGGGCACATTACACCTGTCCATCCATCTACACATTAAAAGAGAACAAAGCAGGGTGGCACCTGTGGCTCAGGGAGTAGAGTGCCAGCCCCATATGCCAGAGGTGGTGGGTTCAAACCCAGCGCCAGTCAAAAAAAAAAAAGACAAAAAACTGCGAAAAGAGAACAAAGCAAATGGTTATTATTGTGTTGACTGGCTCCCTTAAGCAACCTCATTTTATCTTGTGTCTCTGTGATGTTACATAACTAGTCTTGCTTATGAAAGAATAACCTGTTGCATTCTACAATGATCAGTAAATAACTTCTTTTTATTTAAAAAAATTTATATTAAGATGTTAGGCTTAAATATTTTAAGATGAAAAGCTTTAAAATTAGGTTATTAAATATGAAATTTCCAATTTTCTCAAGTACTAAGTTTCACAGTTGATATCTCTGACAATTCACTTTCACACTTCATGTTTTATTGTTGATGTGAAGGTATAGCCTCATATTTCAAATATATGTTTTGGCTTGTGATTCTCTTTCAAAATTTTTTTAGGGCAACTTTTGGGAAACCATGGATAAGTCAAGAATTAGTGTTATTTCTGAATATGAGTTCTGTTGTGGAACCAATGCAGTGCAGATAACTCAAAATGTCAATGAAATGCTTGGAAGGGACGCGGCTAATGAACGAATAGTATGTTGATGATAGAAGTTCCATTGTGGTGATTTTAATCTTGAAAATGAGACACATGGGTGACCTGAGACCAAGGTGGGTAATGATAAGCTGACAGCTATAGTGGAAGCAGATCCATCTCAACCTACATGTGAATTAGCAGCAAGGTGTGACATTACTATTCCAACAGTGTTGGACCATTTGAAACAAATCGGTGGGCAAAGAAGCTGGAAAGGTGGGTTCTGCATGAATTAAATGAGCATCAGAAGAGAAATTGTCTCAAAGCTTGCCTTTCTTTACTGGCAGACGTAAAGGTGAACGATTTCTACATCGTATTGTTATGTGTGATGACAAATGGATTCTTTTTGCCAATCGCAAGCATTTGTCACAATTGTTGGATAGAGATGAATTGCCAAAACACAGTCCAAAACCAAACATTCATCAAATAAAGCTAGCGGTATCTAGTCCAGCGCTGGGATTATCCACTAAGCAGGGGTCCTCAAACTTTTTAAACAGGGAGCCAGTTCACTGTCCTTCAGACTGTTGGAGGACCGCACTGCAGGCCCTAGGACGAGTCGGTTGCTAAGCAGGATAGGCAGCGGTGGCAAAAACACCCAGCAGTCAGATAAATGTCCTAGGCAGGCTGCATGTGGCCTGTGGGCCGTAATTTGAGGACGCCTGCATTGTGAAACCTGGGCAGTTGATTATAGCAAATGTCTACTGCACCCAGCTGGATGACATGATGACGATGCTTGTGATTGGGCAGCTGAGACTGGTCCAGAGAGACAGGCCAATCTTCTTGCAAGACAATGGTGTCACAGAAACAACACTTCTGAAACTACAGAGGCTAGAATTGGAAATGCTCTGTCATCCACCATATTCACCAGACCTTGCACCAGCTGACTACCACTTCTTCCAGACTTTGGATCACTTCTTGAGAGAAAAGTATTCAATTCTCAACAAACTGTGGAAAACGCCTTTTGAAGACAGGCACAGTGGCTCACACCTGGGAGGCCAAGGCAGGTGGATTGCTTGAGCTCACAGGTTCAAGACCAGCCTGAACAAAAAGTGAGACACTGTCTCTACTAAAAATAGAAAAACTGAGGCAAGAGGATCTCTGGAGCCCACGAGTTGGAGGTGGCCGTGAGCTGTGATGCCATGGAACTCCACCTAGGGCAACAGTTTGAGGCTCTTTCTCAAAAAAAAAGAAAGAAAGAAAGAAAGAAAGAAAGAAAGAAAGAAAGAAAGAAAATAAAGAAAGAAAAGAAAACACCTTTTGAGATGTTACTGCCACTCGCTCTCCAGGCTTCTTCACTGCTGGCATAAACAAGCTACAATTAAGATGGCAAAACTGTGATTAATTATACTTACTTACTTTCATTAATTGTACTGCTTCTTGTTTGAGATGTAATAATTTTGATGTGAAATAGAACATTTCATATTTGATGACCTAACAATATAGAGCATTTGGTATACTCTTTATTCAATTTTTTATAATATTAACATTTTACATAACCAAAGCACTTATCTTTTTAAACTAAGAAATTACCATTGATAGGATACTGTTAAACTACAGACTTTGTGTAGACATTGACTTAATTTTCCTACTAATTTCCTTTTTTAGAAAACAGTCTGTGACCTTATTTAAGATTCCAGTGGCATTTGGTTTGTCATTTATCCTCAGTCTGACCCTCGGTCCTTTGGTTTCACTACTTTGACCCTTCAGAAGGGTACTGGTCATTATTTTGCAGGGCGTTCCTCAGTTTGGGTTTACTGGGTATTTTCCAGTGCTTGGACTGAGACGTGCATTATTAGCAGAATACCACAGAGGTGATATGTCTACCCTCGCAGCACCCTCTCAGGGGCACGTGGTGTAGATATATCTTACTGGTGATGTTAACCTTGGTAGAAGCTGTGCCTGCCAGATTTCCATTCTGTAAATTTACCATTTTCCCTTTGTAATTAGTACTGACTGGTAAAAAGATATGCTTGCGGTGATACAATTGTCCTACTTCCCTTTAAATTTTGTCCATGACACATCTCGGTTTTGCAGAAAAGACAAACCTAATCCATGGGTGGAAGCAATTGAGCAGTGACAGCAGAAAGCAGGAGGGCCTGGCTGCTGTTACAATGACCTGAAAGTGGAGAATCTTGGAATTGCAAAAGGGAACAACTTTCCGTCAGCATAACACCAAAAAAATCTCTCCTTCTTTCGATAATTTGAGGGAAGAGCTAACATGACTGGAAAAGAAGCACAGCCAAACAGAAGGAATTCCAGACCATTCCCAGTTCCCAGAGCTGCATTATCATTCGTATTTCTTAATTCATTTTTATATCAGTGACTTATATGTTTCACAGATGGTTTAAAACTTACACTTCCAGCGTTCCTCAGATCAAGTACATAAGGAACTCTAGACGTGGGGAGTTTTGAGTCATTACATTTTGGCAGACTATGGAATGCCACTTGTTTGGTTTATTAATTTTCCCTCAACACTGAATTACAGTATCACAAAAATCTATATTCAAAATCCACAACATAAACCTGCAGAATTATTTCTATACCACCTGCCTTAGCCATAAGAGGCAAAATCGTCTTCAATCCAAACTTTATAGACTCAACTTAACCCTCTAAGAATTCCAACCTAACTGGAGCATGCACAAAGGAATGTCACTATTAGATAATTTGTCACTTGGGGAAGAAGCTATTTGAACCTAGCTCATGTAAAATACCAAAATATCTTTATTAGGAGTGAATCTGTTATGTGCAGTTTTTCTCTAAGACAGTCATAGCGTTAATAGACAATATTCTAGTATAGTTAGTACTTTCCACGTGCCAGTCACTAAGCTCTTTACGCAGATTATCTCATTTACCCGTATGACCTGCATTGTAAGTGGTGTCAAGAATTGTGAAGAGTCTGAGATTTTACCCTACTTGCAAGCTACCAAGTTAGCCTGCTACAGTTCTATGGTTACTTACAGAAAACCGGAGACTCTTGGGTCAAAGACAAAGGGATTTTTTATCCTCAGAAATAGCAGCAACCAGAGTATCACCATTTCTGTGCACCAGTTCTTCAAGCCCCAAAGAAGATCGGGTGAAACCTGCAAAAATAGCGGGTTGATTTACATTATAAAAGCTATGAATTTAGGGAAAACAAACGGTTTTTTGTTTTTGTTTTTTGAGACAGAAGCTGTTGCCCTGGGTACAGTGGCGATATGGTGTCATAACTCACAGCAACCTCCAACGCTTGGGCTCAAGTGATCCTCTTGCCTCAGTTTTTCTATTTTTAGTAGAGACAGGGGTCTCACTTTTTGCTCAGGTTGGTCTTGAACTCATGAGCTCAAGCAATCTACCGACCTTGGCCTCCCAGGGCGTTAGCATGTAAGCATGCTGTCATCTGCTCCCGAGGAGGACATCGTCACTGTCTTCCAAGGCTATTTATTGCACAGATATAGTCCAGAAGCAAGGCAGCTAGTGTGTGTGCTCACAAGACTTACAGAAATTTGAGACACACTCCCTCTGTGATTAGGTACTGTCATGAGACAGTAGAGAGAATTACATGCATTTATATAGACCTTCCATGAAGGCATAAGAGTGCTTACTTTTTCATAGCAGTGTCCCGGTGTTTGCAAGGGCCATTCATTACATGAAACATCCTCCCCATGAAGTGCACCTATGTGAGCACACAAACTATAAATGAGTGGGGTTGGGCATAAAGATTTACCCCAAATAAATTTTTCACTAGGTGTTTTGAAAAATATATTGTGCCTTCGTCTCTGAAGACAACTTATAAAGGGTAAGTTTTAGCTTCCATGTGTAATTTCACACCTACTCTGCTCAAGGAGGAAGTATGCTACAGTGGAAAAAACATGAGTCTTGAATCTAACAGGATCAAGTTGGAATTCCAGTCTATGCTTGCTAACCTCTCTGAAACTCGGCTTTCCCATCTGTGAAATGGGAATTCCTTGTAGGAATGGCAGCACGTGGGTGCTCCACAGCAGAGAACAACAGTGATCAATTGTAGGATGGTTGTTAGCAAAGGCCTTTGATATCTGCTGCTTCAAAATTGGGAAATTCGAGAATAAAACCAGAAAGAGATTTTTTTCAGCCCTGTTTTTCCATGTACATACTTTTTTAGGAATTAGGGATATGTTATATTGAATCTAACTTTTGCACTGAAACGTTAATTTTAAATGTGGGTAAAAATTCTTCCAGCTGTCAAAGCATTAGCTTTTAGCAATGGAAAGGTTGTTGTTCTCTTCAGAGGTCTCCGCATATTTCTTTTAATGACTTGAAGCAGGAAAGCTTGTCAGTGTTCCTAACACGATGCGAATAAAATACAAACAAAGGGTGGTAACCAGAGTCCAGAGGAATTCTGGAGTCTACATTTGCCATAACATGTGTCCTACTGATCGATTCAAAGAGTCTCGTGACTTTACACAGGGAATTGTGCTGTGTTACAGACAGCTCTCTTGATCTTTCACCCATTCACAAGGCGAGGTGTGGGAAGATGAATTGTTTTTTATATTCACTTGAAAGTTACGACACAGCCAAGAGGCGCAGGCAGGAGTGATGCCTGCATGGTGGGCCGGCTGCTACAAAGGAAGAAACACGCTCATCAAACGGTCCTGTTTTTCAGCTCTGGCAGATGGAGGAACATCACATTCTTTGGTGAGTTCTTCCACTCTGTAAAATTTAATGATTTGCCCTCCCTGCAGATTGCTGAACAAATTAATGTCCATGATAGTTTGATGCTGATTTGCTTTGGAAAGCCTCTCAACTTTAACTAATAGTTGCAATCCAAATTAACAATAACCAAGGAAGTATGGAAATTATGGGTGCATTCTGGTAATTCACTACAAACTAAGCTTGTTATCTGCATGAAATACAACTGTGGCTCCATGAATAATTCTCAAAAATGTTGAATTTAAAATGAGCACTGGGTAGGATAAACAGTAGTTGAATAATACTTAAATTCTACCATCTGGTATTCTAGTATTTTAATGAGAGCTGGGTTTCTTTTATTAGGTGTTTATTTGAGATTCTCTCTGTGTGCATTCTTTCCTTATGCAGAAGGAGCTCTATAAATTGTGACCGAGTAAGAGGTATGATTCAGGACAATTTTCTTTTATAGTAATTCTCTTACAGGGAAACATGAGTGTTAAAATATCAGCCAGTTTCCCAAAGGGGCAAATGAAGAATTCCTGAGGGAGTTTGTCTGATTTCAGAGCACTTATTTGTAAGACTCCATAAGGTTGGTGCGTGTGGTATTGGGTGGGAAGAGCGTATGGTAAAGAATACTGATGGGAAACAAGCAAACACGATTAATAGTAGGGACAGGGCAAGACACAAAAAATAATGTGCTTTAATGGCCTTTGAGAGAAAAATAAGAGACTCAAAAATTTTTGAAAACATGAAACAGGCATCATGAAAGGAAGATTTAATGGGCTTATCATGCTTGAAAAAATATCAGTTATCTCCTCAAAAGTTTTATACCAAGTGATTCCAGTGACTTGAGGTGAAATCCACATGAGAATCATCCTTTTTTGCTCCTGACCTGAGAAATTCAATATAAGGTTACATGGAAGAAGCAGGAGATGATAATAATGACATTTACATAGCTCCTCACTGTTTACCAGAATGCTTTCACACCATCATCCCCGTTGACAGACACAGCGATGTCTGCATAGGGGAGTAGAGCTGATCTCATCATCCCTATATGACTTGCAGGAACAAGTTCAGCTGCCTAGTGACGGCACCTTGAGGTCAGTTTTATTTTTCAAAATAGTCGACTTTGTTGTATTCCAAATTTGCACTAGCCAACATGGCAAGGATATTTGGGTACATTCCAAGCAAAACTGTAATCTGCATGAAGCATACCTTCCTTCTCACTCCAAATTCGGTTCTTATTGAATTATACAACACCTCCTGCCAAAATCGGGCTCTGCAACCAACTGAAGAATACATGGAGTCATCCCTGAGCTCCCCTAGGCCTCAGTTGCCTGGATTGACATCGCCAGAAAACTTAAAATTTTACAAAGCACTGTTGTTTCCATCATCTCATTTAATGATCGTGGAAACTGTAAATACTCATCTTTTTAGTGGAGTAAATTTATTTATTTATTTTTGAGACAGAGCCTCACTTTGTCACCCTTTGCTAGACTGCCACGTCCTAGCTCACAGCAACCTCAAACTCTTGGGCTCAAGCAATCCTCTTGCCTCACCCTCCCCGGTACCTGGGACTACAGGCACCTGCCACAACGTCCAGCTATTTTTAGAGACCAGGTCTCATTCTTGCTTAGGCTGGTCTGGAACTCCTGAGCTCAGACAATCCATCTGCCTCAGAGCTAAAATTACAGGCATTAGCCACTGTGCCCAGACTCAGGAGAGTAAATTTAAATTCAGAGTTGATGAATGGCTAACCCAAGATCATGCTGATAATAAACAGTAGATCCAGTTCTGTAGCCCGCAGACTTACTGTGAATTCTGGGATTGAGTTAAGTGCTAAGATCTCTTCCAATTCCATCTCCCTGACTTCAAAGACAGGGAGAATCTAATGTTATTGACATGTCAATAGTATTTTATTAGCAAACTGTACAATACTTGGAACAAAAACCAAAATCTTTTACCAACTAGTTAAGTACCTTCTGACACCTGCCTTCTACAAGAAATTGTGCCAAATATATTGCGAAAAACAAAAGATGAGCGGAAACGTATCTTTACCCTGAAAGAGTGCATGCTCTAGTCTGGGGCATAATATATAAACAACCACTGACAGAAAAGGACCACAGACAATGTGCCCTGGGAGGTAGAGAAGGTAGGTGACCTTAAGCCTTAAATCAAAGAATGTGTTTAAACTTTCAGAGATTGGAGCAAGGGAGCAGAAGAATAATAACCCAGAAAAATCTCAGGTGTTGCCTTTATTAGCATATTTCTTCTGTACCAAAGAGACATTGGATTATTTTCCTGTAAATGATATAATAACAACATTATTTCAACTTTATTAACTATCACTGTAGCCCTCCTACCAAAATTAAAAGTTATGCAACTTTCATTCAGTACCTGAATATGATTTTGAGAATCACAAATCTGTAAAGCATGTAAATTGTAGGTACCAGCTTCACCCTTTGTCTTTAAGCAATATTTTCTTCCATGCTGTTATTGTGCATTTTTATCAAGACTTGCCAAAAAAGTAACTCAAATAATCAGTTCAAATTTTTTTCTCTTCATCTAACTTCCAAAAGTACGTGAGAACACGGGAACAAATACAAGATAAAAGAACAGAAAAACAACAGGAACAAAGGACCAAGGCTGCTGAGTGTTAAGAACTGACAAAGTTTTCCACTACCCATAACAATTGTGTGGCCTTATCAGGTTGTATCCTGTGACATTATCTTTAAGCCAAGACAACTTGCTCATTTATACTTAACTTGTAACAATATAAACAGGCAGACTTTCCCCATGAAACAAGTAAGATGGATGTCAGGGCAGGCCTTGGACTCAACTGAAAACTGGATAGTAGATTGCTTTGGCAGCAGATTGAATAAGTAATACCTGGGCATCGATTCCAAACACTCTTTCCTTTTAAATTTCAGCAGAGCATCAAACATCAGGCAACTGTATCACGTAAGTAGGCCCAAAGTAAGAAGGAAATTACAATAATGTAGCTTGCCATACAACTTCATTTCAAATAACATCTTTCACATGCACTGGTTTGCTTTACCAAATAAAATAATACAAGAAGATGGACAGCATGGGGCATAAATTACAGTGGTGCAAGGACATTAAATGTCGAACAAATTAAAGCATTCCATCATGAAGCCAAAAGCAGTGGGAGAAAACATGAAGGGACCCAGCAAAGTGTACAATTTTAGATGATGTATAAGAGACTCAGATATTGATAAGAAAGCTGTATTTCTTCCCGCCTATGTTTTAAAAAATGAAATACTTACAATTCTCTTTTAGTAGAACGCTGTACATCATGCATTCAATAAAGCTGAATTTTAGAATGCTGTAACCTAAATGTTGCAATCAACCAGAAAGGATGAGAGATTCTGTGTGAATGATCAAACACCCCCCAAAATGAGCTTTACGTAGCAAAACCCATTTACAGACGTTTATGCCATAGTGGCTTAGAGCCACTTCGAGTATTGTAATCAAACCAATCGGATTAACTTTGTCCCTTAGAAACAGTGTGCCCCTGGACACCGTATGGCCTCTCTGTGGCCCAGTTTCTTCATCTCTGATATGAGAATTACAATAATACCTGTGTTACAGCGTTGTCACAGATTAAATAACAAAACTCGTACAAAATATTTAGCACCAGGTCAGTGGCACAGCGTTTTAAAATGTTAGCTGCTCTGACTAAATGTTAGATAGGAAGATGAGATGTGAATCCCCACAGGAAGTCCAGACCCACCAGTGAGGACCTCGGAGTCGGTCCCAGCCTGCAGGTGTTCAGATAAAACAGTCAGGATTCACTGTAGAGCCCTGGCTCGCCCTGGCCTGCTCCTGTAGGGACCAGAGCAAGTCCAGGCATTCCAGGGTATCAGTCTCTGATGTCACCTGACTTTTAGTTTTCTAATCAAGAATCTGAAACAGCGGAGAAGCGACACTTTTTGACTCTAGCAGGAAATCCAGAGTGGATCTTTTGTGAAAAGACACTCACGAAGGGAAGCCAGGGCAAGTGAGCGGTTTGCGCTCTGCTGCGGGCCCTTCCTGTTCCCTTCTGTCCCAATGACTTTGAGGAATACAGCCCCAGTGGAGAGCCACCCCAGCACGAGGGATCCAAGAAAGTGAGAGAGACTGAGACAGAAGCCACAGTGTCTTTCATGAAGTGACATGCCATGATTCAGACTGTGCGCACACACACCGGCCCTGCACCTGCCCGAGGGCGCGCACCCCGGAGGCCAGGCCCCATCTGGGCGGCCACCGCGCCCCCTAGTGGTCAACCGTTCTTCTGTCCAGGCCATTCCCGGACGCTCCTGGTCTGTTCTTGACTATGCTCCAGGTCGTCTGCTTTTCTCTTCCTTCCAGGCCAAACTATCATTCAACTACCATATAAAGCTGAAGTGTTCCTTACTCAAAGCACACGCCAAAATAGTTACCCTATTACATATAACATGAGTACTTCAAGGCTTTTTATCTGATGTTCTTCCACGTAAACTGGAATGTGTTTACTGAAGAGCTCCTTGAACTCTCGGCTCATGGGTCTGTAACTGACTCTGCAGCATCCTGCTTTCTGATAGGTTAGAAATCAGTGTGATTAGCATCAATAGAAGATGCCAAAGAAATGCTCGCCTTGAACTTTGCTTTCCTCTGGGTCTTTGCTCAAGGGTCTATTTATAGCTTTCTCCTTTTTCCCCCACGCTTCATTATCTGGCTTCACAGCCTAACTTCAGCGGCACCTCCTTCAGGGAGCCGCCCCTGATTTGTTATCCCCCACCCCCCAGCTGCTGTATTTACATTTCACCTGAACTTCTGTCTTCCCATTTTACCCTCTAGAGCAATGATTTTCAACTGGTGTGCCGGGAGAGGACCTTAGGTGTTCTGTGAAAAATTCTAAAAATCATTAATTAAATTATTTTTGAAAGACGTTCACAGCACAGTAAGTATATAATTTCTTTACTCTTTTTTTTAATCAACATAATTTAACAGAAGTTTAACTAGTCAAGTGTCCTGTGAGACAAAAAAAGGTTGAAAAACGCTGCTCTAGAGGGTAAGAAGTCACCAGCCCCTGCTCCTGTGACAGATCTGTGTCATCTGTTTCACCAGAGTAGCACTGGAAGCCACTCTGTTAGGTGGTGGAGCCTGGTGAGAAAACCCTTAGGCAAAGAAATTCCCAAATCACTCATTAAACACACACACACACACACACAAATTTTGCAACCATCATAGCAGAGTCCATCGCTCCGATCCTATGATAGTGTGTTTCCTTTCCTGGAACCAGTAAATGTTTACCTTCCTGACTGTCAGTTAGACAGCATGCTCTTTCAAAGCTGTTTGTTCTATGACCTTGTGGACCCAACCCAAACTGGGCCTTGTTTCAAGCAGCGCTTAGCAGTCGCCCTGGAGGCAATGGGGGCAGCACTGACCCCGGCTTCCTCAGCCCTACCCCGATTTCCTCAGCCTTTACTGACTCAGCAATGCTCAGGGGCTGAGATACTGAACATGTCTTACTGTGTATGGGTTATTCTTATCTCTTTTTATTAAAAAAGAAAATGCGGCAGCTTTCAAGAACATTACCCAACTGCATAGGGCGTAGTCTGAGTTCTGATGTGAAGTGTTCTATGTATTTAATAAATAAGTTCAAGTTCCCTAACTTCTTCTGCTTGCCCCCCATTAAACCATTACACACATGCCTGCACAACCACACACCCCCAAACCCACACCCACGCCCATTTTTTTTTCTGCGCATGTGTTTTTGGGCTGTTTGCTGATTCTCTCAGTCTTGAGGACATGAAGGCAAAAGCAAGCGGTCCTGGGTGTGCTTCCTCCCTATGCGTGTGAAGGCTTCACAGAGCTACCTGCCAGTTTCTTCTCTACCTCGGGCACTTATAAAACCACAAGCAACATTCCAGTGCCGCACAGCCTTGGTGAATCAGTGTAGGGTTCTGATTTCTAACAGACCTGGGATGAGGTCTCCCGTCTGCCATTTAGTAGCTGCGTTGCTTTAGACAGTTAATTACCCTCTCTGGGAATCACTTTATCTCTGAAATAGTGTTGACACTATCTGCCTCATGCTGTTGGGAGTAATAAATGAGGTAAGGAAGCAAAGTTTTAATGATGGCATACACTAAATGTCCAATAAATTCTAGCTAAAAATAATAACCTTTATAAAATATAAATGTTTATGGTGGCATAGTGTTCCATCAAGTGGAAAATAAAAATTATTTTTCAGACATAACCACCCTGATATATGATGAAATGCTTCTCATGCACCCACAGACTCTTCAAATTCCAAGTCTAGCCACTTAAGTCTGAAGCACTGACTTGGTCCCTGAGTGCAGTGACCTCCCCGTCTAATTACAGTCCTTTCAAGTGGGAATGTATTTCAGGGTATTCCTGCTGTGTCCTCCCCTTCCTTCATCCTGGATATGCGGTTCTCTCCAGTAGAGCTAATGGAAATATTTGCTTGCTGGCATTAATGTTTATGTTAAGAATAATCTTGGGCTGAGTCCTAGGTTTTCTGTATTGATAGTCAATATTACAGGTAATGCAAGGAAGAATTTCAGGATGTTTACATATCAGGGAAATTAGTGGTTAAGGACCCGACAAATGAATGGAAGGCTTTGCAAAGATCAAACATGTGTTAATGAGGAAGTTGTCAACTTCACGAGTTCTGTTTGAGTCCTCTGGTTATTTGTGAAACCAAGGAAACAGGAAAATTAAATTCTGCTGATCACTGCAGAGGGAGGGGAGGAGTTTGGGCTGAAAAATTATTCTTTTTTTATTCTTTCTTTTTAATTACTAAAGCTCTGTAAATAACCAGCACTGATTTACATTACATTTTACTATCAGTATCTATAAATTGGTTAGTCCTGGTGATAATTAAACAATAAACAGTGACATTTTACTAGGATTGGGTTTTGTTTGATTTGTTTTGAGGAAGACGGGGGTGTTATCACTGGAATGATATACTGAGGAGGCTTCTTATTGGAATCTACAGAATCCACTGTTGCAAATTTGAGCAGAAATGGAATTGATGGAAGAATATTAGACAGCTCGCGGAGTATCTGGTAGGGCCAGATGATCAGACAGCAAACCTGAGACCCAGGGTCAGCTGCCCCTTCTCCAGGAGAAATACCACAGAGGTATTCAGTTCAGATGTCCAGAACTGAATTCCAGAAATGGAATTCAGCACTACCACCCCAAGCCCCAGAAATGGAATCCACCTTCCCTAGGTGACCTGCTTCTTCACACAGTCCCTTCAAATCTGCCCTCCAAAGACAGTCTGATTAGAGGATGCCTGTGCCCGGAGGCAAGCAGATGCAAATTTGCTGTCTTCTGCTTTAGGAAGACAAGACGTGTAAGGGGGGGAATTACCTTGGTGTAGAGTCAAGCAGCTCAAGAGATGAACGGACGTTATAGGGTCAATTATTCTGAGTGCTCTGTATACACTGATTGTGGATTTCTGGCTCTGAGGAGAAATTGCCTACCATCAAGTACTTCTCAGCTTGCTGCTGATGGACCCACACTCCCGAGATCCCACAATTATCCAAGCCCTTTGCTGCCATGAAGAAGACTTGGCACTCATGAAACACCTGGGTCTGCTTCTTGCAGTCCTGTGTCTCCCATACCCAGCAGGAGCATGGGGGGTGGTTAGGTGACGAAAATGAAACTGACAAAGAGCATGTGTGTGTGTGTAGATGTACCACTAAACATCACATATTGACCTCACCTCTGGTATATGGTTGGATACAACTGAAACAACAGGAAAAGGAGTAAATGTTTTCTTAGAAACATTTCTTAGAAATGTGATGGTGTAAGAGGAAAATAGGATGCATGGCTACGGTAATTATGAAATGTCCTGTAATATAAGAAAATAATATATAATTCCACCATGATTAGACATGCAATCCTAAGGCAGAATGCTAATTACTCACTCTAATTGAAAATAGAAGGATTAATCTAGTCAGTGTTTCCAAATAATAACTACAGAGTAGTTGAATGGGAAGAAAATAAATCTATTCTTCACTGATATATTTAGAAACTTTATCAATTGTTGACATTCATAGCTAAAAAGGATTTGATCTGTTTTGATAAATGTAATTGTAAGCCAAACAATTCAGAGATGGAGAGAATTAATAAAGATACGTCAACGTCATCACGAACCAGGTTTGAATAACTGATTAACGAATGATGAGTTTCTCACTGAATTATCTAAGTACACTAAAGCATTTCTCTAGTATTACTTAATAAATGTTAAAATATCTTTTAAAATTAAAATGTGGCATGTTTATTATAGGAAATTTAGAAATACGGATAAGCAAGAAACTGAAATCACTCATGTGTATTAGCCGCAAAGCACCATAGACTGAGTGGCTTAGACGGCAAATGTCTGGAGGCTGGGAGGGCGGAGCAAGGTGCCAGTCACTTCGGTCCTGGTGAAGGTTCTCTCCCTGGCTTGAAGAGGGCCACTTTCTTGCTGCATTCTCACCTGGTGGCTGGGGAAGGGTGTGAGGGGTTGCGAGTGGGGGAAGATGGAGGGGAAAGGAGAGGCAAGAGGGAGAGAGGGGAAGAGAGAAGGCAAGGGGGAGGAGGGGAGAGGGAGAGAGAAAACACTGGCATGTGCACAGCAGGTGTATCAGGTGCTCCTCAGATGTCTCTTATAAGCACTAATTCTATCATAAGGGCCCCACCCTTATGACCTCCTTGAACCTTAATTACTTCCCCAAAGTCCCCTGCGTTAGTGGTTAGGGTTTTAACATATAAACTTGAGGAAGGCACAAACCTGTGTTGAATGTTTCCATTCTAGATTTTGCTTAAGAACAAAAGTTTTGTAAAAAGGGAAAGTATACTGAATTATAACTTACTTTCTGCATTTCATTTAACACTATTTTGAGAATATATTTCCACTTAATTGAATAATTACGTAAATGAATATGTAAGAAGTATTTTCAAAATCTTCAGAAACTCTTCTGTAATGTCGGGTTAATGACAGCATTGAATTATGCTGTAAGTATATGCTGTTATCAGTTTCCCAATTAATCCATTGATGAGCACTTATATTTTTTCCAATTTTTAAGTATTTTAAATAGTGCTATGA